ACAAGTTAAAGAACTTGTACAAAGAAGATGAAAAATGGAAGAAAGTGAAGTTGCAAACATCGAGAAAGAAGTTTGAGATTATTCAAATGAAATAAGATGAGCCAATTTCAGAATTCTTTATGTGTGTGGAATCACTAACAAACCAGATAAAAGTGAATGTTAAATCAATAACTAATCTGCAAAAGATTGAGAAAGTGTTGAGATCTCTAACTACAAACTTTGATTACATTGTCGTGTCCATTAAAGAGTCCAAGAACCTAGTTGAGATAAAAGTGGAAGAACTTCAAGCTTCATTGAAAGCTCATGAGATGAGACTAAAGTACAGGAACTCGGAGAAGGAAAAAATGATTGAACAGGCAATGCAAGCAAGATTCGCCAAGAAATCTGGGAAAGAAAAGGCGGGGGAGAGAAAGAATCTTGCTAATTATGAGAAATCAAGCAAGATATCAAATAATCAACCTGATTCAAACAAGAAATTCATGGGGAAAAAGTATTCGGGGAAGAAATTTGACATGAAGAAGGTGCATTGTTACAATTGTCAAGGATTTGGTCATTATGCTAGAGATTGTCAAAGAAAGAAGGAATATAGAGAAAAAGATGACGATGAAGTTCAATATGCACATGTTAGAGAAAGCGACTATGATGATATGTTACTCATGGCAAATACTCAATCGAACAATGAGCAAACCAACATGTGGTATCTAGACTTAGGATGCAGCAACCACATGATTGGAAATTAAAAATGGTTTACCAATTTGGATGAATCAATCAAGAAGGTGATAAAGTTTGTAGATGGCTGACATGCTACATCAGAGGAAAGAGGAAACCTAGTTGTGATGATAAGGAATGGTCAAAGAGCCAACATTACTGACGTACTGTATGTACCTTCAATGACAAGTAACTTGATAAGCACGTGTCAATTACTTGCCAAAAGGTATAACATGAAGTTGGAAGAAAATATGATGAAGGTGTAAAACGGTGAAGGAAGGATGATTCTTAAGGCACCATTGGCTTATAAAAAACCCTTCAAGATTGAGATCAACATGATTGATCATCAGTGTCTTGCTTCGACTACTGTCGAAGATAAGAATTGGTTATGACATTACAAGTATGGACTCCTAAACTTCAAAGGTCTAGGTATTCTCAATCAGAAGAAAATGGTATATGGCTTATCTCAAGTGAAATAAGAAAGTCAAGTATGTGAGGAATGATGCAAAGCAAAGTAGGATAGGAAAGAAATTCAAGCATGACTTGTCTATGAAGTCGATAGAAAAGCTGGAGCTTGTTCACTCTCATGTATGTGGACCTTTTGAAGTAAGGTCGAATGGAGCTAACGTTATTTCCTAACCTTCATAGATGAGTTTATAACTTGATATACGTGAGTTTACCTTATTGAAAGGAAAAGTGAGGTATTCAAACGACTCAAGAAGTTAAAATTGCATGTCGAAAATAAAGTGGATGCAAGTTAAAGAAATTGAAAACAAATGGTGGTGCTGAATACACCTCTACAGAATTTATATGATTTTTCACTAATGAAGGTATAAAGCATAAAGTCATTTCACCCTATACACCTCACCATAATGGTATAGCCAATAGAATAAATAAAAGTATATTGAACATGACTAGGAGCATGTTGAAAGCTAAAGAAGTCCCCAAGATATTTTAGGGTGAAGTAGTTTCAACAACAACATACATTCTAAACAGATTTCTAACGAAAACGATAATCGAGAAGACACATTATGAGGCTTGGATAAGATAGAAGCCAAATTTTAGTCATCTTAAATTATTTGGATCAATGTGCTTCAGGCATGTTTTGAAAAATTGAGAAAGAAACTAGATGATCGAAATCAGGCTATGGTACTCATAGGTTATCATTTGACTAGTTCATACAAATTGTATTCACCAAATGATGATAAACTTGCAATCATTCGAGATGTTATAGTAGATGAAATAAAATGATGGGATTGGAGTCAAGGGTCAGTTTGACGGGAGCGAGAAACAGTCATGAATATCCTTGATGAAAACCAACAAAATGAAATCATAACCAATTGAAACGAAGAACCACCTGAGCAAAATGTTAGGATATCGAATAGAGCAAGAACTAAGTTGACAATGCTAGGTGGATATCCATGTAGATGGTGACTTAATAGAAGAAATAATGATGATGGCTGAATCAGAACCAATTGATTTGGATCAAGCCATGAAATATTTGAATTGGCTAGCAGCCGTGCAAGAGGAACTCAGGGCATTCGAGAAGAACAAGACACGTAACTTTCTAAAAAAGCAATCAAAAAGTCAATTGATATGAAGTGGGTCTAAAAGTTGAAGCTAAGTCCAAATGGTGAGATTGCTAGGCACAAAGTAAGACTGGTGGCAAGAGATTTTTTTGCAAAAATCTGGTATTGATTTTGACAAAGTTTATGCACCTGTAGCAAGGCTAAAAGCCATCAGAATTGTTGTGTCGACTAAAACATACAAAGGATGGAAAATACACCAGTTAGACGTTAAATCATCATTTCTGAATGGACCTTTGGAAGAAGAAGTTTGTTTTAATCAACCACCAGGATTCGAAATCAAAGGGCAGGAGTCGAAGGTATACAACTTGAGGAATGCTCTATACGATTTGAAGCAAGCCTCAAGAGCTTGGAACAAAAGAATATATAGCTTCCTGATCGAAGTAGGTTTCTCAAAATGTGTCTTAGAACATGGAGTATACGTTAATAATGCGAGCAGACTTAGTCGAGTCATCATATGCTTGTATGTTGATGACTTGCTGATTACAAGTGTAGATAAAACATAAATTAAATGTGTCAAATCGAAGCTATTGAAGGAGTTTGAAATGTCCGACCTAGCAAATTTGTCATATTTCTTAGGGATGGAATTCAAAAAAACAAGTGAATAAGTGTTTATGAACTAAACAAAGTATGCCCAAGAAATCTTGAAGAGATTCAAGATGAGCAACTACAATGCAGTTGTTACACCATTGGAGACTGAAGCAAAGTTGAGAAAGGAAACAAATGATGAGTTTGTAAGTGCAACACTATACAAACAAATCATTGGATTCTTAAGGTACCTTTGCAATACCAGACCAGACAATTGTCAAAATGTTGGATTGTTGAGCAGGTTCATGGAGAAGCTCAATAGAGTGTTAGATACATCAAAGGTATAATTGATCATGATGTATTGATGTTGAGGAAAACGAAGACCATCTCATATGTACATGTATATGGCTATAGTGATTTAGATTTCAATGGAGATCAAGGCGAGAAGAAGAGTACTGCATACTACATATTCCTGATTGAAGGTGCCCTAATTTCATGGGGTTCAAGAAAACAAAGCATTGTGGCTTTGTCATCTTGTGAACCTGAGTACGTGGTTGCATCATATGCAATATGTCATGCAACATGGATAAAGATGTTGCTTGAAGAGTTCAAGATGATGGAATTTAAGAAAATAAAGTAGTTTGTCGATAACAAGTCAGCTATCGATCTGACAAATCATCCTATGTGTCATGGTTGAAATAAAAACATAGAGAGAGTGTACCATTTTATGAGGAATCAAGTTAACAAAGAAAAACTTGACCTTGAGCATTGCAAGATAGAATGACAACTAGCTAACATACTCACCAAACCTCTGAAGAAAGTCAAGTTCGATAAGTTGAAGAGAAGTATCGAGATGAGAAGTCTTGAAAACATGAATTAGGAGGTGTGTTAGATGTTGTAATTCGATGTTTTATACATAGGATAATATTCGATTGTGTCAAAGTAGCAAGTCGAAGGAATACAACATATCGCTATTGTGTAAGTCAAAGTTTTGTATATTTTGAACTTGGACCATGATTACCTATATATAATCATTCATACCTTTGTAGCTTTCAAATAACAACTTCATTGTAACCAATTCAATTTTACACAACATTATTTTTCTCCTTTCTCTCTTCTTCTTCTTTTTAAAACATTTTATTCCATCAATTCCAACAAAGCAAATATGTAATAACTTATCCTTTGCGCTAAATTTTGTCTTAGTATTAATTTTTTTATTTCCAACCAAACTAGTAATAGGCTACCCTTCACGCAAAATGGTTTTAGCCTTAAGTTTTTTTTTTTTAGCATTGTACATGCTATTGAATTTTGTGGTTCTGAAGTAGTTTTTTATTCTTTGTTTTTATTATAAGTAGTTTTTAAAAAAAAATTGTACTACAATATAAGTTATTTTATATTACTAATAAATTATTAATATTAATTTTTTATTATATTTTTTTAAAAGTTATTATTCTCTCATTTTAATTAGGTAAGTTTGTCTTCTCCATATTATTAATAAAGAATAATTTTATAACATTTATAATTTTTTATCTTTATATAATTTTTTTTTAATATGTGTAAAAAATCGAAAACGACTTATAATAAAAATAACAGAGGTAGGATTGCTTCTAAAAATGTTTTTGAATTTTAGAAGGCTTAATGCAATAAGTCATGATAAACATGCTATTAATTTTCTTCACTTCTATGTTTTAAACTTTTTTAACCTCAACATTAAAGGCCGGTGATACCAAAATCAAATTTATAACATTAGTTATTTGTGAATAGTTTCTTTGCCTAATAAATTGGTAAGATGTTAAAACAAACCATTTGTTTATTCAATGATACATTTATTGCCTAATAAATTGGTAAGATGTTAAAACAAACAATTTGTTTATTCAATGATACATTTATTTTATAACATCATAATTACAACACCCATACATTTGACTAGTATATTTATTAAAGATCACTATTAAAAAAAATTAAAATACCAATTTAATATTAGTTGACAAGTACAAATTGCCTAACAACTTTTCTACCCATGTGCCATATCTATCTATATAAAGATAATTACAATTTTCAATTTTCAACTTTTTCAAATGGTTTTCTTCTCCCTAATTTTTCTTCTACCCATGTTACCCTCTATTTAACACCCAAAAAAACATCATCATAGAACAGAACAAAAAACAAATTGATTTAATGAATTCCTCTGCATCAATAATTTCTCTGCCAGAAGATTGTGTTTCTGCAATCTTGTCACGCACATCACCACAAGATGCATGTAGATTTTCAATGGTTTCCAAAACTTTTGTTTCAGTTGCAAACTCTGATTTGGTTTGGAAGAACTTTTTACCCTCTGATTACAAGAACATTCTCTCTAGGGCTGTGAATCAATTCACTCTCAAATTCATCTCTTCATGTAAACAACTCTTTCGTTTTCTCTCTCGTCCACTTCTCCTTGACGGTGGTAATAAGGTAATTAATTAATTAATCTTAATTAATCTGTTACTAACGCTAATCAGTTTATAATAATTTTACTCTGTTTGGTTCTGTTATGCGATGAAAACAGAGTTTCAAATTGGAAAAGTGTTGGGGTAAAAAATGTTACATGTTGTCAGCGACAGAGTTGGCAATAGCATGGAGCATTGATCCAATGTTCTGGAGTTGGAAATCAATCCCTGAATCAAGGTATTTTTCTAATCATCTGTCAATTAATCTATAAAACATAGATATCAAAAACACGACACCGACAGAACAGGTGATTTTTTTTCCAGAGGTGTCTGTGCTACTGTTAAAAAAAATTAATTAATAATTTGCAGATTTTTAATGGTGGCTGAGCTGAGAACAGTGAACTGGTTAGAAATAGAAGGCAAAATCAGAACAAATATTCTAACGCCAAACACGTTATATGGAGCATATTTAGTGATGAAAGTTTCTCATCGAGCTTATGGACTTGACTCTGCGCCTTCTGAAGTATCAGTTAGGAAAGGAAACATGGTAAAGAGAGGGAAAGCATATTTGTGTAATAAAGATGAGAATAAGTGTAACATGGAGACATTATTTTATGGAAACAGAAGAAACAGAATGGTTCAAGAACAAGAAGACGGAGAGAATGTTGGAGTGGCATGTAAGAGAGAAGATGGGTGGATGGAAATTGAGATTGGTGAGTTTTTTAGTGGGGAAGGTGATGAGGAGATTCAAATGAGTGTTGCTGAAGTTGGTCATCAGTTGAAGGGAGGACTTGTTCTTGAAGGCATTGAAGTGAGGCCCAAATGTAGTTAATGTTAATGTTGAGTGTTTGTAATGAGATGATTTGTTCAAGCCTGAATATACTCATTCAAATCTAAAAGGGTTTGATTTGGATCTAAATTGAATCAGCTTGTTTAAATTTGAAGTTGTTGGTTTGGTTGATGAGTTTATAAATTCAAATTTGGTAACATGTGAATCCAACTTAATCATTCAAAATGACGATTTTATAAAAATGAGTTTTTTGAAAATATAATTTAATACTTTTATATGTACATTTGAACAAGTTCAATTTAATTCAGGTGATAAAACTTTAGTCCTCTTTTATTTTATGAAAAGCATTTTCTATTTTCATTTTATAAAATTGTGTGTTAATTATACTTATCAAGGATGAGATAATAGGCATTTGAAATGAACAATTATATATATATATATATATATATATATATATATATATATATATATATATATATATATATATATATATATATATATATATATATATATATATATATATTTTGTTGTGAATCAGATACCTTTAAACAAAGTATAAACGGTTTCTTAGCGTTAAGGTTAATAGAGAAGAAAACAACAAGGATTGGTTATTAAACTGCTATTCTTTCCTTTCTCTTAGAACAAGATTACAAGTATATAAGAATAACAAAATAACCTCTCTCTCTTGAAATTAGGATTTTATCTTCCTATTTTTTCTTATGCCAAAATTGAGAAACTAGCATCCTATTTATAATAAAATAGCACACTAACCTAATGAGCTTTTTAACAATTACTCATTACAAGCTAACTTAGGGTACAAGCTAACTTAAACAATTGGGCTTACAAGAAAGGCCTCATTCAACATGCTAACAACCCTAGCAATATTGACTAATGCATGTTAGAACAAACTTCGACTACAACACGCATTACTCGCGAACAGACTTCAACCACACTAGAGTTCGATCCAACATCTCACAAATCTCCACCTTGGATCTAACTCTATAACATCAAGAAACTAGCTTTCTTCATGCAGCTTTATTAACTGCATACAGTGGAAAAACTTGCAACTGAGCAACGTCTTGGTGATCATATCTGCAGCATTATGATCTGTCAAAACCTTCAGCACTTGGACTTCTCCGCGCTCGATTTCCCCTCGGATGAAATGCAACTTTACATCAATGTGCTTGGTTCGCTCATGATAGGCTGAATTCTTCGACAGGTGTATTGCACTTTGACTATCACATTTAACAGTGATAACTCGACCTTGAAGTTTTAGCTCCTTTGCAAAACCTTCAAGCCACAATGCTTCCTTCACAGCTTCAGTTAGGGCAATATACTCCGCTTCAGTGTTTGATAAGGCAACGACCTTCTGAAGTGTTGCTTTCCAACTGATTGTTGTCCTAAACATAGTGAACACATATCCAGAGATAGATTTTCTAGAATCCATACAACCTGCATAATCAGAGTCGACATATCCTTCGATTGCTGCTTTACTATCTTCACCCAAGGCTCCACCATAAATTAGGACTCTATTCAGAGACCCATTTATGTACCTTAAAATCCACTTTAATGCTTGACAGTGAGCCTTTCCAGGATTCGCCATGTACCTGCTTACAAGACTTACTGCATATGCTATGTCGGGTCTATTACATACCATAACATACATCAAAGAACCTACTATGTTAGCATATGGAATGTTATTCATATAAGTTCTTTCAACATCAGTGCTGGGACACTGATCTATACTCAGCTTAAATTGAGGGTTTCTCGGAGTCACAACAGACTTTGAATTCGACATACCAAACTTTTCGAGAATCTTCTGTAGGTATGCCTCTTGAGATAAGCATAATTTTGACTGCTTTCTATCTCTCCGGATGTCAATCCCAATAATCCTGGACGCAGCATCCAGATCCTTCATGTCGAACTCTTTATTGAGTTCAGCCTTCACCCTCATTACCTCTCCGACATTGTTGCTTTCTATTAGAATATCATCCACATAGAGCAACAAAATAACAAATGAATTACCCGGTCAAAATCTGAAGTAAACACAGTGGTCAAACTGGATTTTGATGAAACTTATGTGTGCCATGAACTTGTCGAATCTCCTATTCCACTGTCGAGGAGATTGTTTCAGTTCATATAAAAATCTATTCAGTTTGCACACATGATCTTCCTTCCCCCTTTCGACATACCCTTCAGGTTGCCTCATCAGGATTGTTTCATCTAGATCACCATACAAGAACATAGTCTTCACATCCATCTGTTCCAGTTCAAGGTCGAACTGGGCCACCATGGCAAGCAACATTCGAATGGATTTGTGCTTCACAATAGAAGAGAACACATCATTAAAGTCGATACCTTCTTTCTGAGTGAACCCCCTAGCAACCAATCTTGCCTTGTATCTCTTCGACGTCACTCCTTCGATTCCTTCCTTAACTTTGAAAATCCATTTACAGCTGACTAACCTGGCTCCAGCAGGTTTCTTGATCAGTTCTCAGGTGTTGTTATCATGAAAAGATTTCATCTCATCATCAATGGCCTTCAGCCATTCAGTCTTCTTTCGACTCCTCATAACTTCCTTATAGTCTCTAGGTTCTTCATCTAGAACCTCACTAGCAGAGATTAAGGCATAAGCTATAAGAGTTGCATACTTAAGTCTATGAGGTGGCTTGATGACTCTCCTCGACCTGTCTCTTGCTAGCAGGTAGTCATTATCAATCTCCTCATCTTCGACAACATCTTTTGCGTCTTCTTCGACTTCATCTGGGGTAAGCAATTCAGCATCAACATGCTCCAACTCAACAGGAATCTCTCCCTGTTCTAGCTCTTCGTCAGCATCATGAGTTTTCTTGAAAGTCATCTCTGCTTCATTGAAAACTACATCTCGACTGGTGATACACCTTCTGTGACCTGGCTCTAGGCACCATAGCCTATAAGCTTTGACTCTTTCAAGGTATCCATTTGAACATGCATTTCAAAGCTCTAGGTTCAACCTTATCTTGCCTAATGTGAGCATAGGCCACACAGCCAAATACTCTCAGTCTGTCGAGATTTGGTGGATATCCCGACCAAACTTCTTCAGGTGTCTTCATATCTAACACAATCGAAGGACATCTGTTTATCATATATGTTGTTGTCGAAATAACCTCGGCCCAAAACACCTTCTTTAACCCAGCACTAGTCAACATGCATCTAACTCTTTCTAAAATAGTTCGATTAAACCTTTCCACCATACTATTTTGTTGTGGAGTACTTGCAGTGGTTTTGTGCCTTGCAATACCTGAGGCAGCACAAAAATTTTCGAGTTAGATTTTTGCCATTGTCGGTTCTCAACCTCTTAACCTTTCTGCCAGTCTGATTTTCGACCAGAGTCTTCCAACCTTTCAAATTCTCAAAAGTTTCATCCTAAGTCTTCTGGATGAATATTCATAACTTTCTGGAATAATCATCAACTCTAGATAAGAAATACCTTGCTCCTAAATGTCATGGACACCTTGCAGGCTCCCAAAGATCAGCATGGATGTAATCAAGGATCCATGTGTTCTTTATTTGCCTTTGTTGAAGTTCACTCTACAAGTTTTTCCAACTACATGGGGTTCACAAAATTTTAACTTTTCGAATTTGTCTCTACAAAGCAGGTTTTGTTTCCCTAATTCAACCAGACCCCTTTCATTGACATGGCCCAATCTCATATGCCAAATTTGTGTCTTTGAAAAATATTTCGTAGATACAACATTCGTTGAACCACTTATAACTTCAGCCTCTAGGGTATACAAGCCTTGTTTCCTCACACCTCTCAAGACTTCCTTCGACCTCTTCATGAATCTTAGGATAATTTTCTCTCATTTAAAAACATATCCCTTCCTTTCGAATTCACCAAGAGAAATCAAATTTCTCTTCAAGCCAGGTACATACCTGACTTCAGTCAATAACCTTATTGACTTATCATGGAGCTTGAATCTCACAGATCCAATACCTGTAATTTTGCAAGCTTTGTTGTTTCCTAGCGGCACTGATCCACCATCTTGATCACATAGCTCCTCAAACAATTCTCTGTTTGGAGTCATGTGCTAAGTGCAACCTGAATCCATAATCCACTTCTTTCTTGAGTCGCTGCTTGAAATCACAAGGACATTAGATGCGTTGAAGTCATCTTGAACAATGGATGTGTTGCCATTATCCTTACCTTAATGATCTTTCAGGTGCTCAGAGCATACCTTTCTTGTATGACCCTTCTTTTTACAGTGGTAGCATCGAATACCAAATGCCTTGCCACTATAAGACTTTTGTTGACTTTTACCTTTTTTTCTTATCAAACTTACCATCCTTTCGCAAGAATTTTCCTCTAACAGACAAAGCTTCACCAACCGTCGAAGGTTTATGCTCCTTTCATTCGTTCAAGTCATTAGAGTACAAGGCTTATTGAACTTCTTCAAAACTCAGGGACTCCCTTCCATATAGGAAAGTTTCTTTGAAGTGAGCATGTGATATGGGCAAAGTGTAACACCCCACTTCCCAAAATTAAAATAAAATACAATTAATTCAAGTAAACATCACAGTTTCTCCTCAAAAGTGGGATATCACCTCAAGTAATTCGACATCAATAAATGGTTTTCAAAATAAAACAGCGGAAGTAATCATTAATTCAACATTCTCGGCCATCCGCCAAATTACATAAAGTCATTCATTAACAAGGTTCACCAAAATATGATACGTCACAGGAATAAAACAACTTCAAAATAAAAGTAAACACCCAAGTCCCGTGTTACGTATCAGAGCATCCTAAAACTCGACCTGTACACCACTATCCAAGCTCGCTATGTACCTGGATTATCTGTACTTCCGAAGAAGCACAGACCACCACAACAACAAAGGGGTGAGAAACATGATAAAAATTATTAGTAATAAGATACATGGTCAAAAGTAGTAGTTATATAAAATATCACCCAACAGGCATCAACCACGACCTACCGTCCAAAAATCAAACACAACATGCAATAATGCAAACATGCAACTCAACACCATGCATGCGGTACCAACTCATTGGTTCATTCAATCGAACCCAGGATAGATCACATACACCCCTCCTTGGCAATGATCTATCCCCACCATTCTCCACAAAGGAGTAAGGATGAATCGCATACACTCCTCCTGAGCAACGATTCATCCCACCATCCTCCACAAAGGAGTACAGATGGATCACATATACTCTTCCTGAGCAACGATCCATCCCACCATTCTCCACAAAGGAGTACGGGTGAATTGCATACACTCCTCCTGAGCAACGATTCATCCCACCAAAACACCATGATATGCACGACACCATATGCACAACAAATAAACTCAAGCACACTAAGTGCACACGATCCTCCTGATCACATCACCATGCATCATATATATATATATATATATATATATATATATATATATATATATATATATATATATATATATATATATATATATATATATATATATATATATATATATATATTACACACCAATCAATTATATTAATTACATTAAATATTAGGAAATTCACATCTTAACGCCAAATATACACTCTTCACCATTAAACACCATATCTATACCCATCATGACTAAAGGGATCAATTTGCCAAAAGGCTACATTTTACACTTCACGATTTACAATCTAGGATTCACGCCATACGGCTACCTACATCATATTATAATACAGCACACGAGCTATACGTTATATATCGAAAACATCAACATATGCGTTTTTCCTTTCTATTTCCACTTTCTCTTATATCCTTTTCTATTCTCCTTCTTCCATTATATTTTCTTTTCTTAATTTAATAATAATACAAATAATAATAATAATAGAATAACAATATTACTATTATCATTAAATTATTATCATTATTAATTATATTATATTAATATTAAATTCTATAGTTTATTAAATGATCTCCATAATTAAGGGCACTCACCAGCGCACTCAGACACACCCCCGCATGAAGACTCACAGAAATAAAATAACACCAAAAGACTAAATAATTAAAATGGGTGTTACACAAAGCGCACAACAAAAATAGGGATTGGTCTTCATCATTGATCTTCACATTAATATTTTCAAGATCAAGAATCAGCTTGTTGAACATATCTAACTGCTCAACCAACACCTTGTCTTCACTCATCTTGAATGAATACAAAACTTGCTTCAGGTAGAGTCAATTCACCAAAGATTTGGTCATGTACAAACTTTTAAGTTTCAACCATAACCCTGATGTCGTAGTCTCCTTTGATACCTGCCGGAGAACCTTATCATTAAGGCTAAACAATATTGCATTGTGGGATTTCTCTATCATGGCCGTCTTTTCTTTTTTCGTTAATGCAGCGTCCATGGCTGCCTCTCCCTTTAACGCTTCCAAACAACCCTGTTGAACCAATAGGGCTTTCATCTTCAATTATTATAACTGTTATTCTTACTTTTTCTTAAGGATTGGTTATAACTGTTATTCTTACTTTTTCTTTGAATCAGATTACAAGTACTCAAGAATAACAAATAACTCTCTCACCTAATTTGGATTTGCCACACCACACTTAAGATGAGAGACTAGTATGCTATTTATAATAAACCTAACATCCTAACTAATGGCCTTTTTAATAATTACCTATTACAAGTTAACTTAAACAATTGAATCCTTAACACAAGATCCAATTCGACAATTACATATTAGAACACATTTCGACTACAACATGTAGGTCTTTGACAGCAGCATGTGAGCAGACTTCGAAGGCATGCTAAATCTTTGTCGACAATACTAGAGTTTGATCCAATATGTCACAGGTTTTAGACCACGTTGAAAATAAAAGTTACTAACTGAATATAAAAGTTAGGAACTAAATATAAAAGTTAGTAACTGCATATGGGGTTTTAAACCTTCATTAAATATTAAAGCTAGTAACTGAATATAAAAGTTAGAAACTGAATATAAAAGTTAGTAACTGCATATGAGGTTTTTAAACCTCCATTAAATATAAAAGTTAGTGACTAAATATAAAAGTTAGAAACTGAATGTAAAAGTTAGGAATTGAATAATATAAAAGTTAGTAACTGTATATGGGGTTTTAAACCTCCATTAAATATAAAAGTTAGGAATTGAATATAAAATTCAAAAACTGCATATGGAGTTTTAAACCTCCATTAAATATAAAAGTTAGTAACTGGATATAAAAGTTAGTAACAGAAATACAAAGGTTAGGAACTGAATATAAAAGTTAGTAAATGCATATGAAGTTTTAAACCTCCACACAAAATATATAAAAGTCACACTTATTATAGAGCACTTGACAAGTTGTCAGTTTTCTATAATAAGGAGTAAAGTAAAAAAAACAATAAAAGTCATTATAGTTATAAATCACTTGACTAATTGTCAGTTTTCTATAACCCTGGTAAATAATAAAAATTATAGCAGTAATGATTAAAGTGATAAGTTTAAAATATATACCTAATGTAGTAATAACTTCCTATAGAAACAATCGTGCTGATAACATGTTGAGAAAAAAAAAACAATTTTAAATATTTGTTAATATTTATGAACTAATATAAGCTACTAAACTAGTTGTAACTATTAAGTTTAGATGTAAAGATTGAAGAAAGAAGAATGCTTTTGTGTTTAAAAGTAAAATCTTGGTGTATTTTTACATTAGCCAAATATAATATTTATACTACTAAAAATATAACTATTACAATAATGTAATAATTGAACTTACTATTTTAACTTTGACAAATTATGTATTTACAATAATATAGATATTTTTAAATTATATATATATATATATATATATATATATATATATATATATATATATATATATATATATATATATATATATATATATATATATATATATATATATATATATATATATATATATATATATATATATATATATATATATATATATATATATATATATATATATATATATATATATATATATATATATATATATATATATATATATATATATATATATATATATATATATATATATATATATATATATATATATATATATATATATATATATATATATTATTTTTCTTATTTTCATAAACCCATGCTCCCTTACTAAGATTTCATATTATCTCCATGACAATTATTCACTTTCAAAAAGTTTTATATCTTTTTATAAAAAGATAGAAAATATTTTCGTTCAATAGAACTTAATTAATATACATTTTTTTAGACAGTCAATAATTATAACTACTAATTTATTTTACAAATTTAATTTTTATTTTAATCATTTAAAAAATAATATTAACTAATAATTTTAATATATTTACAGTATAAAACTTTTTATACTGAAAAAGCATAATAATTAATCTCTTCTTTATCTCTCCATCTACCGCACTTAATTGATTTGGTTCTAAGTTAAAGGAATACGGCAATCTAATTTTGGATGATGTTCACATGTTTTGAACACATGTTGACATTAAAAAGTATGTCGTCATAATATCGATATCACAAACCATTTCTATACTATATATGTATATAAAACCATATAACATGTGAACATGGAAATCATAAAAACATTATCGCATTATGGAACTTGTTCCTGAAGATTGTTTTGCACACATTTTATCATTTACATCACCAATCGATGTTTGTAGAGTTTCTCTAATTTCTTCAGTCCTTAAATCCATGGCAGATTCAGATCATATATGGGGGAAATTCTTACCACATAATTATGAAGAAATAATTTCTAGACTGGTGGGTCCTCCATTGTCGTTTTCCTCAAACAAAGAGCTATTTGCGGCGTTATGTAAACCGCTACTACTTGACGACGGTAACAAGGTATACTCATTTTCAACAACTTTTTTTTAATGATGTTCACATGACTGATTTTAATTGGTTGCGGTTAATTTATTCACAACCTTTTAATAAATACTTTTTTTATTTGTTGAAATTAATGAATTATATTAAATTTATGCAGGATACTAGCTTAATATAATTATTATAAAATATCAATGTAATTATTATTAATTAAAAAGGATTTATGTATCCTCAGGCGGTGGAGCAAATATGAATTTACTAATATAAATTTAAATCCATATTTTTTCTGCTGCTTGTGGATAGATAAATTATTAGTTAATAATTTTTATATTTTTTATTATATATATTTATATATTATTAAATGTTTTATACATTTTTTCATAAACATGAAAGAATAAATACTTAAAAAATGTTGAGATTTGAAAACAAGATTTATGATAGTTTTATGAATGAAACAGATATTTTGTATTGAGAAAAGAAGAGGCAAAATATGTTACATGTTAAGTGCAAGGGAGCTTTCAATAACATTTGGAAACACTCCTCTCTATTGGTCATGGAAACATGTTCAAGGCTCAAAGTTTGCAGAAGCTGCTGAACTAAGAACCATTTGGTGGCTAGAAATCAAGGGAACTATAAACATTGAAATTCTATCTCCAAAAACAACATACAAAGCATATTTAAAAGTGAAAATTGCAGATCGTGCTTATGGGTTAGATTTGTTGCCATCAGAGGTTTCTATTGAGGTTGGTAATTATAAATCATGTGAAAAAGTTTATATACATTCACTGTGTAAAAGAAATGGAAAAGGCTCTTGTGATTGTGAGTGTGATGGTGAGTGGTTGGAGATTGAGTTGGGGAGTTTCTACAGTGAATCAGTTCAAGTTCAAGAGGTGAGAATGTGTCTTAAGGAAGTTGAAGGTGTGCACTTGAAAGGTGGGTTAATCATTGATGGAATTGAATTAAGACCTGTTTGTTAACAATAATTAGTTTATTGTTAGTTTATTGTTAAGTTTGTTAGAATAATCACTTCATAGTTTGTCATTAGGTCCTCATTCATGACCCTATATCATTAATAGGTGTCATCTTGTATTTTTAATTTTTAAAGATGTTCCATAAGAGTGAAGGTTATTCAAACATGTTATTTGCAATAATGCTATTGTATATGAAAAGGCTTAATTTTTTTTTTTTTTGTCGTATGTTAACTTTGAGATTCAGTTTAGTTATTTTAATTTTTTTTGTCTTATTAAGGACTAAAAAAGTCAAAAATTGATCGCCAAATTAATCGTTAATTATACGAAAAGGATTACCATGTGTCGCTACTCGAAAAAATGCATCGCGCAACGACGGGGAGGCGAAAAAGATAGGACAGAAGAGTCGCCACCGAACTTTATTTATCCCATGAGGGGAAAGGAAAATATCGAGAAAACCTTAAGAAAGAAATGGATAAGATGGTCTCGCAACCAAGAACAGGTTCGGAAGCCGGTTATGCGAGGGGAAGGTATTAACACCCCTCGCATCCATCGTACTCGATGGGAACCTTTTGTTTGTCGATGTGTGATTATATTTGCTAAAATATTATGCTATAAAAGTGTGCCACGGGGTAAAAGAAGGGTTATAAACAAGAAAATTAGGAGGAAAGAGAGAACGAGGAAGAAAAGAGAAAGAACAGACTCGGTAGGACTTCGCAGTCCCATGCCTACGTATTCTCAATAGATGTGAGAAAGTCAGAGTCGACGTAGTTCGGGGAACTACAGATATGGGGGGAATTGTGCTCGACAAGGATTGTGGCCCTTGTGCCTACGTATCTTTACTTGAAAGAAGTAAAGAATCAGAGCAGCCGTAGTTCGGCCAACTACGGGTGAAAGGTGAAAAAGGGAGCTCGCCAAGACATCGCCGTCTTGTGCCTACGTATTCTCATCTGGCATGAGAAATCAGAGCAAACGTAGTTCGTGCTGGCGGAGTGTTGATGTTTTTTATGGATGATGCTATCGTGCGCATTCTAGCAGTTAGGTGTTTTGCTGCTCGCTCGTTGGAGACTTAGGCATTACCTGTTTGCGGTAGAACGGACGTAACATATCCTTTTTGAAAGATTGATTAGGTTTTCGCCACGCGAGGCAAGAAGTCACATTTGATTTGTTGAATTATTTTTAGGGAGCGAGACAGGTCCTCAGATAGTAACCCCTACGGGTAGTACCCAATTCATTGTCTCAAAGTTTTTGTCATAAAAGGGTGTGGCGAACGAGGCGTCTTCGTATTGAAAGACGAGCGTCGAAACCACCCTCACTACAGTGGGCATCCCAACGCTCGGAGAAGAAGAGGTCTACACCCAATCCTCTCTCTTTAATTCAATACAAAGAGAACTTCGTTCTCTTATTAAAGATGTTTTTGGGTTTTGAATGGTAAGTGCTTTGTGATAGAGAACCCTACGGTAAACGTCAGCACTCGGGATAGGAGAAGGCCTACGCCTAACCACTCCACGACCATTCAAGTTTTTGTTGTAAAAATAATTTGAAAATGCACTCGGTGCAGGACCGAGGTTTTAGGTGTGAAAAGGGTTGCAGGATGAAGTTGTGAAAGGAAATGGTGGATAAAGTCGCGTCTTCGTACCGAAAGACGAGTATCGAGACCACCCTCACTACAGTGGGCATCCCAACACTCAGAGAGGAAGAAAGTCTACACTTAATCCCCTCTTTTTAATTCAATACAAAGATAATTTGATTTTGAAGATTGTTTGCCAATGTTTTTGAATCGAGTCGGGACAAGTGACGAAGAGAGAAAAGAGGTGGTCTCAGATCCAACATTACTTATCAATAATTTGACTGGTAATGAATTACGGAGGTCTCGTCATCGACCAAAACAAGATGGAATAAAATAAAGTCGAAAAGGTGACATAAAGTTGAAAATGAGAAAGAGGAGAAAAAGTCGGTCTCGGATCCTCCATTTCTCGTCAATAATTTGATAGAGAATCGAAGGTGGTCTCGTCATCGACCCTAAAACCGTAAAAAAATGAGAGAAAGTGAATATAATCAAAAAAATGAAAATATAACTAAAAATGAATCCAATATTGTCTACCAAAGATCTTTTACAATATTAAAAAAAAACATTATGAAATTTTTTATGTTAAAACCATTTTTTAAAAGAAATTTTAAAAGAAAAAGGAGGGGGGAGTACGCTGGGTTTTATTTGTGGTGTGTCTAAGTAAATCCAATGATTTCAAAAGGCCCAATCCCCTCACAACACAGCACTTAAAAATAAGATTCTTAAAAAAAAGAGTCAAAAAAACAAACGGGCCGCACAACCCATCGAAAGCAGCCCCACCTCAAAACAAATGAACGAATGTTCTCTCACCCACTCTTTCTCACGGACAAGAGACTCACAAGATTGTGTTGAGAGAAATTAAAAAAATGATGACGGATAGAATACATCGAAGACACCGGCTACGCGTTCAAAAGGATTCGCCCCAACCTTCTTCGTCTCAGAATCTTTTCTTCTTTTCTCATTCTGGATTTGTTTTGTGGTGGGTTTGTGAGGTTTGGAGTTCAGGTTAGGACTTAGGGATCTGAAGAGGAAGAAGATTCGGAGGATATTTTGTAGGATGTGTTGTTGAAGAAGATGATGGGTTGTTGAAGCGTTGTTGTGGTTTCGAAAGAAAAGAAGAATCATGGCGGAAGGTGTTCTGTTGGGTTTTGTTGACGGTGGTTGAGGAGGGTTTGGTTTGAAGGAAATGTTGAAGAAGAAGAGTTAGGGTTGATTGAGAATGGATAGGTTTCCGAAGGTATTTCGCCGCGGTTATGAGTGGTTTGAAGGAAAGTTCCGGAGAATGGAGGTTGTGTTGGGAAAGAAGGCGAGTGAAGTTGGTCGAGAGGTTCTGTGAAGTTTTACGAAGAAGAGGGTCTCACCATGGCTTTTTCGGATAAGGGAGAAGAAGGTGGAGAGGTTTTGTTTATGGTAAAAAAAAAGGTGAAGAATATTGAAGAATCAAGTTGTTTGTATATGAAGAGCAGAGGGAGTGTGAGGTTGTTTTTTTGTCATGATTGATGATTTTTGTATATATGGCTAGCTGTGAAATCCCTATGGTATGATTTGCTGCCAATTTCTGCTGCTATCGTGGTATTTGCTTTTTGCTACTGCAGGTTTTGTAGGGCTGGCTGTACTGGTGTGTGCAGAGTGGTCTGTGTGTATTTGCAGGTTTTGTCTTGGTTTGAAAGCAGGCTCTCAGACTGTTAGTTGTCTGGCGTGGCCTTTGCTGATGGTTTTGCAATACTGCTCTGTGTGCCTTTGCACCTTCTGCTTTTGTACAACTCTTGTAGTGCGCATATGTGATGTTGTTTTTCTTCTGCCCAAAATTGTACATGTGCCTCCCCTTATTGTTTCCCAGATACATGATCCATCTTAATTTTGCAGGAGGTATAAATGGGTGTTTCTTTTCTTCTTTTTGTGAATGTTGTAAGTGAATTTACCATGAGTGCCTTGTGCAAATTTGGATTTGGTTTATGTGTCTGCATTGCGGTAATGTGCTGCCCTGTTTCTGGTTTTTATGCAGGTAAAATAAGTTCATGGCTTTGTCGTGTAGCAGTTGTGAGAGCATGGGCTCAATTTACAGGCGAGTGGAAATTTGGCACTGATGTCGACTTACGTTAAGGCTGGATGAACAGACTGTGCAGTCGGTACCGTCTTGGCTTCTGTCTCGCTTGGTATACGGTTTTGAGGTTTTTTACGGTAGTACATGTTGCTTTTATCGGTCCCCCCAATTCCCCTCACAATTTTTCTTATCCCATTTTCTTTTTATTTGCGAGTGGGTATGCGGACGACACGGTGCGTGAGAGCCTTAATTCTGTACTATGCAGGTTTTTGCAAAAGAATAAAAATGATGATGGCTACCTTATTTGATGGCATTCATGGAGGATCTTTATTTGGATCAAGTGGCGCAAGGCTTAATATATGGCTTGTGTAGAATTGAGGAATTGTGGGGTTGATTTGTAACCTGTTTTGTCTCTTGTAAACATCTTATTATTGATTGGGCTTTTGTTGTAACAAAGATGTACAATGAGTTGGTAACAACCTTGAAGTCACACATGTTCTTCTTCTTTTTTTTGGAATAAAAACACATCATGTTCTTTTTGGAATAAGAACACATCATGGGCTTTATGACTTATTCATGGACTTCTCGTGTTAATTTTTATCTTTTGATATGGGGATACAGGCTTTATTGTAACTGTTTTGAATTTTGACCTCTATGTGTAGTAAAAAAAAATTCTCTCATTTAAGATGCACACTTATTGGACCTTCACGCCATATGAACGAAATTTTGAATCAACTCCAATCTTGAAATTTTAACACGTGATAAGCCAAAACCTTCATCATGAACTTCTTGTGCATGCCTTAAATTAAACTCGTATCGTATAGCTTAAACCATGGCTTAACCATCCGACCATATCTTGATTATCTAACCAGAATGACATGGCCTAACCTGACTGATTTTCAATCAACACTTGACTTTCCATGATCCCCTTGACTTTCTTGATCAAATTCCATCCATTGGACATATTGAGCTTAAGAATCATGATCTTGACCTTAAAAAAATCAGGAGTTGACTTTTTTTTTAACTGCACAATTGAATTTTTAAATCTCTTGATTTTCAACTAACTGATCAATTGAAAACTCCTCTGATGGCCCCTTGGCTATGTTTTTGCTTGAACTTGAAGTCAATAAAGGACTCTCCACAAATAAACATTTGATCCCCTGTAAATGATCATGATATGCAAATGCTAAGGCTATGATGCAAATGAAACATAAGCCAAAGATTAAGAAAAGAGGTTGGTCAAATTTTGGGGTGCAACAGCTGCCCCTATTCAAACGTCTTGGACCTGAAGGGATGAAAAGCGAACGACTTTCAAACATTCAAGGTAAAGAGACGGTTGAATACCAAAGAACCCAGAAATTTGCCAACCGCCGGAAAAAAAAAGAAGAAACCGTA